AGAAACTCGAGGTTCAGTTGCAACTAGGTTGAAATCACCACAGATGTTTATCTACCTTTATATATTATGTATTTGTCAGCGTCTGACAACCAAACAAATTCAGACATATCTATTAATTATATTAAAAAGCAAATAAGTAAAATAAATAAATAAAAAACCAAAAAAACCAAACCTTGAAACTATTTCTATATAGTCACCAGAGCCAAAAAACAATTTTCATACCATTGGTATCTATCAAATATTCTGCAACCCTTCCTGATACCCTGCAATACTCCAAAGCGTTCTGTGAAAATTGTTTAAGAGGTGTTGTTCTACGGAAGAGGTAACAGTGCCAGCGGCTGCCACACAGCAATGATACGGGTGTCTTTAGTATAGTGCAGCATGGAAAGTACAGATATTGGTAGTCACTGAATAACTAGACTAGAGCATGGGATACAAAATGTATTTGACTTTTTTCCTAATAAATCTGCTCTTGAAATGATCAACATACCACACTACACCCACCCCATAGATTAGTATATTTTTCTCTGGCTTGATAGATTTTATGAGTGTGTTGGCCACCCCCTTCTTGATGTTTTCTTTACCATTTGTCATCCTGCTTAGCATGCAGAACTCTTCAATATGCTGCTGTGAAAAAAAAAAAATACAACTCCTCCTTTCCTTTCCATTCCAGATCCAAATAAGCCATCTCTACAGAATTTTTAATCTACTGAAAAACTGGGACTTCAGTAAAATAAAACTCAAATAATAATGTTTTTTTCATGCTACAAATGCCAAAACTATTATGTCAGAATGGGTTTCTCTTCCAGAAAGACCTGGCAAAAATAAAGTAGAAGGCAGTGTACATGTTCACCATATATAATCTGCTTTTGTTAGTCTATATTGCACAAGCTTTCATGAGCTGAACCTCATTTCATCAGATGCTGTGAAAGGATGTTCAACACGCAATGGCTAAGAAGGAGAGATAAATTAGAATACAAAAGGGAAGGGAAGGGGAAACAGTTCAGGAAATCTTAAGTTATGGTGCTAACAATAGAAACCTGCACAATTTTAAAAGTATATTCTTATAAAAACTTAAAAGAAACTTGAGTTAGTATTTATAGAAACTAAAATGAAAATGCATACATATAGACCACATTTTTATTATACTTACCGTATCCCATATCTGAAGTTTAATCTGTTTGCCATCAATAGTTATCATTCGAGCACCAAATTCTACACCTGAATAATATTTAAAAAAAAAAAGTTGCATCAGTACTGCACAAGTTGGCAACTCCTACAAATGTGAAAGCAAAGCAGATGGGTTAGATACAACTCTCACAACCCACATTATACTTCAGTTGCTTTCTAACCGTCTTGAATGTACATTTTGTTTTGCATAAAAGTCTTCCAAAATACTTAAGTGTTTGTTTCCCTAACTGTGGAGGGAGAAAGTAGGTCTGTTTGTTGGGTAACAAAGGAAATTAGATAGACATACAAGCCTCTTCTTGTTTGCTCTCTACAACTAGTGCTACTAGTAGGTTACAGTCAATATTCATTATTCTTCCTTAAAAAAATACTGTATTTACTTGAATCCAAAACAAGGGATTTTTCCCCATTAAAAAGTCCCCCATCTTAAATTTCAGTACAGGGGAGGAGGGGGGCGGGAGGCAGCCCAACGTGGGCTTGGGGCTGAAGCTAGTCATTGCCCACCCCACTGCCTCTGTGCCTGCTACTGCCACTTACCCTCCCATCTCTGGCCCAGGGCACAGAACACATGCTGGCACCAGCCCCCACCCATCCCTGCCAGTGACAGCAGATATGGTTCTATCCTCAGACCTGGGGTCAGGGAGGGAGCTGGTGCTGCAATTGCTGCTGCACGGCAGAGGTTGGAGCCAGCATGTACTCCGTGCCCCGGGGCCGGACTGGGGGCAGATGAATTTAAGACAACCTTCCAATAATTAGATTCTATGTATGGAAAATTATAACAAATGTATACATTTTCTATATATATCATACAATTACTGTGGGGGTTCTCTTAAATTCAAAGTTGTCTTGGATTCAGGTAAATACGGTTGGTTCATACATGTTTCATCTAAGGAAGGCTTAATTAGTAGATAAGTAACAGAGTTCAAATTCTCATTTTCTATATTTTGAATATAGTGAAAAGAATAATTGATGACACCACTATAAAAAGTATTGCAACGAACAAGGAACTGGAAAATTTCTTACTTGCAAATAATATGTTCTTTGCTAGCACATTAGTCAGATGATTTTCTTCTTATGCACAACTGAACAGCACAAGCAGTCAAGTCAAACTGCAGATATTTTGTGTACCAGTTAAGGTGACTCTAGGCTCCCATTAACTTCCTCAACTGTAAATGCTAGGTACTTTAAAAAAAGAATGTGTTGTTAAAGACAAATATTTAATAGGGGTGCACTGACAGAGATTATTTGGCCCAATACCAATGGCCAACTTTTAAGGAGCCATATTGGCTGATACTGATCCGATATGCAGCTGGGAGACCAGTGCTGTGCTGGTAAATTGGATGTGAGGGAAGGGAAGGCGCATGGGGGTGGGAGGCAGATCTAGGACCCTGAAGTGAGGGAGGGAGTGGGGTTGCTCAGGGCACAGGAAGGAACCGCGAGTGGCTCATCCAGTGGGCGCGGGGGCAGCTCCTGCCCTGCACTCACCCCAGGAGGGCATGTGCCCCCAGATCCGTGCAGGGTGGGGCAGGCTGCTGCTGTGAGCTGCGCTGCACTCTGGACAGGTGGCAGCAGGAATGGGAGCAGGGCTATGGGGCAGAGGGGGGCTGCAGCCACCCCTAAATTCACCTTAGCACCCACATAGCCCCCTCCCAGCACTGCCACTGTGTGTCCCAAGCACAGCTCAGCCTGACCCAGCCCCTGCTGGGAAAAGCTTAGTGCAGCCCCAGCCCCAGCAGCATCACGCCCTGCCCCACTCTGAGCAGATCCAGGGGGAAATACCCCCAATGCCACCCCAGTGTGCATGCAGGGCAGGAGCCCGCCCCACACCCAAGCTGCTCATGGTTCCGTCCCATGCCCACCCCACACAAGCAACACCTACCCCAGCCCCACTCCCTCCCTCACCCCGGTGTCCTCTATCTGCAAGCCCCCACACACACCTCTTCCCTCCCCCCCCATCCCTTCCCCCACACCAGACTTACCAGCGAGATGCTGGTCTCCAAGCTACCAGGCTGAGCTCCTAGCCTCATGCATACTGTGGCTGTGCACATGCATGGGGTATTTATCGGCCAGACTATCAGCCGCAACGGGCAAAAAAAGCCAATTTCTGATACTTTCAATTTTCCCTATAACCGGTGACGATCCAATATGGGACCGACTTACTTGTGTACCTCTAATATTTAAAATAAAATTCATTCTGAGAGAAACAAAAGCATCTGAGGTTAGAATGCAGTTCCAATATTTATCAATCAGGAGTAAGTAAGTTCTGATAGTTGTACAGAACTTACTGTATAAAAGAAAATATCATTCAACAGGTGCAAAATGTTGGTTTTGCCCACTGGAGAAATACCATTTACTTGTTAGAAACTGGCCATAGATAAGAAGGTAGTTAAATCCAGTCTAAATCATAAAATGAGGAGGAAAAGAGAGTGCAGTGGGAAGAGACATATCCTTTATCCTCCTTCAATCATGGGATGACAGTACTTCTGGGTGGTTGAAAGGACTGATAGAAGCCTTCTGAATTAGCATTCACAACACTGATGTTTCCTCAACTTGATTTCAAAGGGAGATCCTCTAACTCAGGGCATACATACAGTACTGACAGTGAATGTGCACATGCACACCGAACATGAAATTAATATTATCCTGAGCTTTTCGTCAATATAATTTGTCTATATGAGGCAAATCATTTGGAGCTGAAAGAACTAAACATCTATCTGGTAAGTAAATTTTCTAATATCCTGGTATCTGGAAATATTCTGCTTCAGAATACTAAGGCTTTGGGAACAGATGCATAAGATAGGCAATCAAGTGTACACAATATGTGCCCTATATCCCTTCCCCCAGTCTGACTGGTGCGGTCTTCCATACATTTTGTAAATGTTTAATGTACTTAGTGTGTCCTGGCTGTAAAGGGTACTGAGACTGCCTTTAGAGCTCAATTCCTTGTCCCCACAACTTTGAGACCAAAATCAGTCCAGTTCCCAAACGGAAACACGTGGAAACTAAGTTAAAGAACAGAGTATGGAAAGTAATAAGCACACATTTCTAATCAGATGGATGGATTCATGTCTCAAGTCCTTTCTCCACTGCCTGGTTGCAGTTGAGAACTGGATGCGGGTGAACCTATTGAGGCTGAAACCAGACAAGACAACTGAGTAATGGCGGTGAGCAGACCACTTGATTGGGGTGGGGGGATGGATGGACTAGGAATCCTATCATTTATGGGGTACACCTTTCTTTTGTCACTCAGGTTCACAGCTTTGGGGTGCTCCTGGACCCTGTACTGCACCTCCATCTTTGGGTGGCGATGGTACCTAGAACTGCGTTTCATTTAAACCACTTGGTGAGAAGGCTGCAAACCTATCTTTTAGATTCATTTCTAGCCATAATCTTTATATCTTTGTTACCTCAAGGCTAGACTACTGCAATGCACTCTACATGGGGCTGCCTTTGATGACCGTCTGAGAGCTACAGCTGGTACAGAACACAGTGCCATAGCTTTTGACAAGGATAAGTTACCAGGAGCAGTCTTTCAGAGTCTGCACTGACATCAAACTGTTATCCAAGCACAATTCAAGATGCTAGTTTTGACCAGTAAGGCCCTAGATGGGCCTGGGCCCTACATACCTTAAAAACCAGACAAACCCCCACCAAAAAACACCTTCTCCCTTATACCCTCTTACAATCCCTAAGGTCAGCCAAGAGCAATCTCCTCCTATTATGATCAGCAGGAATTTGGGTTTTCCGTTTCCCACAGAAACTGAGAAAACCATGGATTCCCCCTTTTTTAAAAATCAGAGAAAACGCATATTTCCCTTTTCAGCAGAGAAATCCGCAGATTCTCTGCTTTTGCAAAGAGCTCTTACAGGCTGGCACAGCTCCAGCCTGCAAGAGCCGACTGCAGAAAGGGCAGGAAACCCCCAACCCTGCCTGGAAGGAGAGGGAGAGGGGGAAGGTCGGGGCCTGAGCATCTGAGTCAGCCAAGGCCGGGCTCAGGCTCAGACTCGCCCTTCACCCCTGGAGCTTAGAGGTAAGTGGGGCTGTGGGGCAGGGCTTGGGAAGATGGAGCGGGGGGTGCT